CAGAGACAGCACAGGATCACAGCAGAAAAGTGTGCCCTCAGACAGGCAGGCTGAAGACACTCAGAGACAGCACAGGATCACAGCAGAAAAGTGTGTCCTCAGACAAGCAGGCTGAAGACACTCAGAGATAGCACAGGATCACAGCAGAAAAGTGTGTCCTCAGACAGGCAGGCTGGAGACACTCAGAGATAGCCCAGGATCACCAGAACTAGGGACACCAGACTCCCAGGCTCTAGACCAGTGGTTCTCAACCTACCTAATTCCAGGACCCTTTAATACAGTTCCTCATGTTGTGGTGATCCCCAACCATAAAATTATTTTTGTTGTTACTTCATAACTGTAATTTTGCTACTGTTATGAATTGTAATGTAAATATCTGATATGCAGGAGACCCCAAAGGGGTTGTGACCTACAGATTGAGAACCGCTGCTCTAGACGTTCCCGGGAACTGCAGGGGGTGGGGAAGAACAGAAGGCTGGTGGGATCAGCTGGGACAGGAACTGGGCTGAGGGAGGAAGGTGGCCGAACCTCGCCCCAGAGGGCTGGTACATGGAAAAGAGGTTCTCAGGGCCAGGATGTATGTGTGGAGTGGGGTGGGGTGGGGTGGGAGTAGGGAGAGCAGGGAATTTTTTGCACTTGTGAATGTCACCCAGTCACTCTAAGAGTTTCTCCCTTCTCCCATTCCTTTCTCCCCCACCTCTGCCTAGGAGAGTAAAACTCAAAGGAACAAAAATTCTGTGAATCAACATTTTTGGATATGGCCAGGCAGATAGGTAAGCCTGTGTTTGGTAGCCTGGGCAGAAAAGCTTGTATAATTGATTTTAAAAAGCCAACTAATCCTTGTCAGGTAATCAAGAAATAATCTGTCAGGTTAGAGGCAAGGACAGAAAAAGAAAGGACTTTGTACACAATCTCCCCTGGGCCCTCTCGGCTCCTGCTTGGTGGCTTGTGCACTGTCCCCGAGACCTCCCCCTCTGTGCTGGGGGACTCTGAGGGGAGAGAGCCTGTCCTTGCCCTGGGGACTATTTCAGGGCACCAAGAGGGCAGGGAAGGGTCTCTGCATTCTTGCCTCCTGCCCCACATGCTATTAGACACGAATCCGTGTCTGTCTGTCTCCATGTGCCTGAGTTTCCTGCATGTCCCAGCTGAGCTCAGAGTTGAAGGATGGGGGAAGGGCACCTCTAGCAGAGAGAGCCATGTGGAGGAAGGGAAGGGGACACCTGAGGAATGAGAAGGGCAGTGGGTGAAGCAGGTGGAGAGAGGAGATGGAGACAGAGCTGAGGAGGGGAGGGGGACGTCACCACCCTCCCACGGTGTCTTTCCCAGGAGCACCCGCTGTCACCAGGCTGTTCTGCCACAGTCAGGTACAGAGGTCCAGGGGCAGATTGGGGTGGCTCCTATGCCACCCCGATATGAGGGGTGTTCCGGAGGCAGATGGCAGGCTTTGGTGATGGACAAGATGGGTGTGTTAGGAAGAAAAAGTTGTCAGAAATGACTCACTCCCTCTAGACTTCTGGGCTTAGGCACATAGGCACTGATGTTGAGGCGGGGGGGACGATGGTACTCTGGGCTGTTCCCACAGAGCATCCGTCTGTAGATCTTTCTCTGCTTGATTCAGGGACAGGAGCTAAGGGAGCGGGAGAGCTCAGCCTTGCCTTATTGTTCTGAAAATACAGAGCAACAAAGAAAGAAACCACAAGAAACAATGTTGCAAAGATTCCTCAGCGACCAGGCCAAAGCTTACATCACCAGCCAGTCATGTGGGTCTGCAGCTCTGTTAATCAGTAAGAAGTGGATTTGTCCTTGTGTTATGAGATCTGGCGCTTACACCTGAGATGCAAAGGCACTTTCCCTGCTTCCTTCTTCCTTTTAAAGCAGTGGAAGTTCTGGATAGCCAGGGAGTTAAATGAAGCCCCTGGGCACCCAACACAGTGCCTGGGGCCCGGACCTTTCCACAGGGGTGTCTCTCCGGTTCCTGCATGCAGTGAGGAGGGGGGGCACAAAAATGTGTCAAGAAAAGAACCTGAAGCCATGGAAAAATGCCAGGCCCCTTATGCACTGAGACTGGACACACACGAGCCTTTATCTGGGGGAGCATGGGCTGGGGGACTCCTCCAGGACAGGAGTCCTGGCAGGATTTGGACAGAGGACTCAGGAAGCTCAGCAGCTTTTCCAAGCCAGAAGGGACATGGGGAGGCCTGCAGGTAACAGTAGCTGCTAGGTAGAGAAACCTGGATTAAACTCAGGTAATCTGCCTCCAGGAATTGGAAGGGGAAGGGGCGGGGAATGAACAAAAGGCAGCAGCGTTGAATAGCAGCGATTACTGGGGTGCAGGGCAAGGGGGCATCCAGGCACTCAGAGGCCCTGTGCTGGGTTTTACAATTTCTTCTAAATCAGCGGTTCTCAACCTGTAGGTCTGGACTCCTTTTTTCCATTTGTCACAATGCGGCAATTAGGAAGGTTGAGAACCACGATCTGAATTCAAAGGTGGAAGCTCATTGTAGGAGTTTGAGGGTGTGAGATTTTTGTTTTCCTGTGGCCTCTCCTGTCCCGGTGGGAAGGCAGCCCGGAGCATGAGATCAGTTAGAATAGCGCAGAGGTCTGGGTGGGGGTGGCAATATAAGTTTGCATGAATTAATCAGCTAACTAACCAACCAGCTAACCTCCTTAATGCTTTCTTCCCGATCCCCTCCCTCATCCTCTTTTCCTCCGACTCTATTGCCTTCTCTTCCAGCCCGAGGTGGGAAACAGTGTAGAGAACCCTGCCCGCTCAGACTCTGGCGTTCCTTCACCTGCATCTCTCGGCCCCTCCCTGCTCGGCCCCTCCCCGCTTGGACTCTGGCGTTCCTTCACCTGCATCGCTCGGCCCCTCCCCGCTCGGACTCTGGCGTTCCTTCACCTGCATCGCTCGGCCCCTCCCTGCTCAGACTCTGGCGTTCCTTCACCTGCATCGCTCGGCCCCTCCCCGCTCGGACTCTGGCGTTCCTTCACCTGCATCGCTCGGCCCCTCCCCGCAGCCCCTACCTCTGGCCCATCCTTTTCTGGGCCTGCCTGCTGAAAGGGAGCAGCTGCTGGTATCTAGAACAACTCCCAGCTGTTCCTCCAACTTTTCTCAAGTGTTTCTTAGTGTCAATGCCTCTAATTAGTTAAAATAGGAAGGGGGGTGATAAACACAGCCGCACAAGAGAGCCCTAATTTTAGCTGCAGCCAAAAGGACTTTCCCCTAAATACACTGTGATCTCAAAATACTTAGCTAAGCGCGTATGTATGCGGCAGGGACAGAATTTAAAGAGCTACAGAAGTAAAATCCAGAGGCCAAATGGGACAGCCCTTGCCGCTCTGTATTAGTAGATCGCAGAGGAAAGGCGTGGGAATCCACTGAGCCCCACGCCGGGCGGGTCCCTGCCTCCTGCTTCAGCAGGCAGCACTGCAGCCGTTCATCCCACTCTGACAGTGGCAGGATGACGCAGGGACTCACATCACCTCCACTTTACAGATGAGGAAACTGAGGCTCAATGAGGTTCATCTTACTTTGTACAACATGACACAGCTAATGGGAGAGAGCGAGGATTTAAACCCTTCTAGCCAGGGAAGATGGGGCCTCGGACCTAGGACAGATGGGGCACTGGGCAGACAGTTTAGCAGGGATTCGGGGAAGGGCATGGGGGTAAAGAGCCAAGGATTCTGGCTCTCAGAGGCTGAGCGGCATCACTGTAGGAGTTGGCAGGAATCACTCTGTGCTGTGACTTTTTCCAATCTTAAAATCCCTCCTAGCTCTCACAAGATAGGCCGGAGGAACGAGCAGGCTGCCATTAACAATTTACAGGTAGATAAATCATTTGGAGAAAGCCCCCACCCTTCACTGCGGCCAGAGAGACCACTGCTTTCTGCAATCGAAGACGTGCTGTTTGGCAAAGGAATCGGGACAGGCTAAGCGCTCCCCCCACCCACCACTTTCCTAAGGTTAGGGTAGAATCTAGGTTCCTTGAGAAAAGGGGCCACCTGGTAGGACTCATCATGTCAACCTCCTTCCTCTCAATTCAAGCTTAAAAGGCCTCTTCTCTGGGACGCTCCCCAGGGAGGTTTTCCACGCACATCTGGAGACTTTCCACAATAGGCCTTTGAAGCGGCCTGCAGTGTTCTGGGAAAGTCTGCCCCACTGGGCTGAGATTTAAAGAGCAGAAGCCCACAGTTATTTTTCTTTCCCGCCTTCTTTGACAAAACTCCCCCCAGTGGTTTGTGGGCATTCGCAAAGCAGCCTTGATTTTCAGCTCACTTCTTGTAGGGCTGGAATCTTAAAGGAGAACAAAAATAGAGCAAATTCAAAAGGGGCGCTGGTGTCACTGGGTCTGTTTACGATTCAGCTCGTCCACTAGGCTGAGTCGTGCTTACTCACTGTTGTAGCAGAGAGAACGTGGGCTTTGGAAGCAAATAGTCCTGCTCTGTCACTCAGCACGGGTGACATTCTATCAAGTCACTAATACTGTGTGAGGCTTGGTTTCCTGATCTGTGCAGTGAGTTAACAGT